ATTGCTAAGCTAAATCATTAATTACTAAATCATTAATTTTCATAACATGTGATTTTAAAAACAACAGATGTGTATGTGCCAAATAATCTACCTTATTAATAAGTATTGCACGTTTTTGTAAGAGCACTATTGCACTAACGTTTGATTAGCCAGTCCCCAGACTTCCACACAGTGTGAAATGTAAGGTAGTATGAGTGAACAATAAATTATATGTAAAGCTGCATTATTCAACTTATGTCTTGATTTATACAGTATTGCTGTAATCTTAGAAAGTTTTCCTTTAATGTAATAAACATGCTGTCTCCATTTCATTTTAGTCAGAGGTTTTACAATAAAATCAAGACCATTATTTAAATACTGCAACTCATGGGAGAGGTACTGTAATGTCCCACCATACAGTGATAAAAAAGTCATTCATCCACCAGTACCTGTGTCCATGCTGTCCAGGTCCAGGTGGTGAAGAACACACGATGAATCAGTCCCAGCTGATGGATGATCCTGAAGTGGTAGCAGGTTTTCTTTAGCCGTGTTTAGCTAACAGCTGCAATAGAAACAAAGCAGGAGAGCTGATTAAGATGCTGCTTCAGAACAACGCAGGAGATTAAAGATCCAGCCCTTTGGTTCTGATCAGCTGAGGACAGATCCAGTCTGGAAAAGAGGACCTTTGGTCACCTGAGTTCACGGAGTAGAGCTAACCGCCTCAAAAAGTCTCCTCACACACCAGAACAACAAGCTAGGCTAGCTCTGCTAGCAGCTTTCGGTTTCTGCCTTTTCCGGTGGTCGGTGACCAGCGTAAAGGTGCACTACCGCCACCTGCTGGACTCTCTGAGCTCTGATAAGCTAAAGAAAAAACGAATGTTGCATTTTCTACATGTAATCAATTGAATATAATACTATAATTATTATATAGCTATGCTAAAAATATTCTACATACATAAGTCATACACTATTCTAACACAACAGTTGACCTTCTTTTATTTAATCTTTATTAAACCAGACCAAGGGCGTAGGAACGAGTTTAATATTGGGGGGGACACGTTTTGGAAATCTAACAAATCTGTTGTAGGTCAATATATAGGTCAACTTCACTGAAAAAATACATTTAATGATTATTTCTGATTCGAACGTGTCACTGAGTGTTTCATGCAGGCTGGACATGAACATAGTCTCCTACCGCTAGCTCCTGCATTAGCTTCTGATAGAAAATCTGATAGACGGTGAAACTCTAGGATTAGAAAACTCTGACAGATGTGACTCAGGGCGTAAGGCAAAGCCCAGAAAGATAAGAAAATAACTTTTATAGCCCAGTTCACTAACATTCTGGGTTTTTTATTTTTGATCGGGGACCCTTGAGCAAGCCAGAAGGTGAGGAGACTTAGGCTCCCCATTAGCCAGATCCAGGTGATTACCGGCCAACGCGGACTTTTTAATTATAAAAAAAGCTGTTTATGTGTCAGTACTGTTTTACTTTTATTTAATAATATGAATGTAGGATATATTATCTTATTCATATGGGTAGAGATGTGTAAACAGATTTAATACAAGTGTAGCGTTGTGGTTTTATGCTCTTTTATGAAAGAGGAACCATGCTACGTATTAATTCGGAATATTAATTTTTAATAAATCAATAACCAAATTTTATATTGTTAAGAAGACTCAAAGGTTGTTTTCATCGATAAACTGACGATAATATCTGTGTGTCTGTGTTTCAGTTCAATGAGGAAACCAGTTTGACAATTAAAAGTTTTAATTCTTCAAATTAAACTAATGATTTTGAAATTGACAAACAGGAAATAACAATCAACATTGGCAACTTGTGGGACAATCTTTAACAGTTGATATGATCAAATAGACCTTGTGGTGAATTTATGAAGATTGAGAATGTTGTGACATGAATGCGTGTGTGAGTCTGATTTTGCTTCAGGAAGAAACAGGTGTCTGAGTGAAGTGATTGTTTGGATAAACTTAGGTCTTATCAGAGAACTGCATCAAACGCTAAACACCGTGTTCTGTCTCACCGAACTCTTGTGGACCCTCTTTCGGATCCGGGCCGTGGAGGATGGTGATGGTTCATCCAGATGACACCAACGGCTGACAGGGGAGACGTAGGTGTCGAACGGAACCGGTCCAGAGTTGCCCTCGGTACACGTTGATGGTAAAGCGTTTTGTCGATGCGCTTTCTTAAGTTAATTCACTCAGAAATCAAAGACTCTGTATGAGTCTGCGTTAGAAGTCGCGATTCAGCTATTCTGTCTGGCTGACAGGAACAGCGTGAGGGGGGTGGGGGGGTGGTGGGGGGGGAGAGAAACGAGCCAACCGGCTCCCCACTTTTAGCGTTTATTCAGGTCCTCTCTCTTTCGTTGTCAAGCACGAACTGAAATCATAAGACTGAAACTTACCAAAAGCCTTTCTCTTCTCAAAGCAAACGTGTGCGTCAGCAAATGTGTTTTGGAGTTTACTGTGAGAATCTGTGTGTGGGTGTGTGTGTGAGTGTGTGTGTGCTTGAGTGTGTGTGAAGGTCGATAACAAACATCCTCAAACATTATTTAAGTATGGATTCATTAATCCATTATAATTACCCAAAGCATAAGAATCATTCATTTGATTAAAACACATTTATAATGAGCAAATTGATGATTAAACTTTTAACATTCAAAACAAGAAAAGAAAGTTTTAAGACTTGTTATGACTACATTTATGGGAACAACATCTTCTGTGGGAACAACATCTTCTGGCACGAAGCTGCAGGTGGCAGATGTTATGGTTTCCTCCCACACTCGCTGGTGTTCAGGTCTTAATCTGTGGGTGAAAGTTCTCAACGACCCAGCTTTGACCCAGCTGAGTCCAACACCACCTTTGTGACAGAAAACCCATAGTTCCTCACGTTACACAAGACTAAAGCTGTGAATATTCAGTCTGAATTGATCTGACTCTGATCAGAATATTTTAAACTACATCAGCCAACAATGCTGACCAACAATCAGAAAAATCTGTTTGTTTCTGACAGAATGAAAAAAGAAATAATTCACTTACAACAACAGCTGGAACTACGTTAATTTTCAGATGGACAAAAGAAAAAAACAGTGGCCACAATTGCAGTCTAAATGCACCAGAAAGCAGAGTTTAACACTTATTTTTCTAATATTTCTAAGGAAGCGTGTACAGAATGTAATTTATTCTTAAACCGTACTGCCCAGCCCTACTTGTAATGGGATTACATTTATTTAACTGTGTTCACTTATTATTACATTCAAATCTTCCTCTCATCAGCAACATAAAAACCATCTCATTCTTCACTGTAGCACCTCAGCATGTCTGGTGCTCCCTGTCTCACCCTCAGCAGGTCTGGCGCTCCCTGTCTCACCCTCAGCAGGTCTGGCGCTGCCTGTCTCACCTTCTTCATCATTTCCTGCTGAACTTCCTCTGGTCTCTTATATGAAAAAAGTGACATGAATAAGGTTTAAAAATGAAATGTGATGAGAATGTCACAAACAAGCAACAATCACACTTACAAACTCCATTTTTATGTGGAGATTCTACTTTTTTATTTATTTCGTGTCAAATGGTTTTTGTCTGTAACTGTAAAATTCGCCATTTTTTGTTGACTAGTAGTGTTGTTTAATGTTTAATGCTAACTAGCAAGATGTTTACGTTAGTCAGCCATTTTAGCCTTTGACCAGAAATACAATTATACTCATTGGACTAAATTATTGCCAACTCACAATTCCTTTCTTTCCTTTTTTGCCCATGAGAAGAACTCGCTGAGCTGCAGCCGTCTGTCTCTGACACCTGTGTCTGCCCCGGCTCTGACACCTGTGTGCTTCACTCAGCCAGCCTGTCTAACTCCCTGAGGGGAGGGGCTGTGTCGGAGAGAAGTCCGCGGTGTCTTTCAAAATAAAAGCTCGCGAGTCAAATATTTCAAAATCAATCTTTTTCTTCTCCACGTTATTGGGGGGGGGGGGGGGGGGGGGGGGGGACAAATGCGGTTTGTCCAATACTGGAGGGGACACGTCCCACCAGGTTCCTACGCCCTTGAACCAGACGAGTCGACTGAGACTCGTTCTCATTTGTGACGATCTGGCCCAAGGCCGGATTAACCATATGGGCAACTGGGCAATTGCCCAGGGCCCACGAACTCTAAAGGGCCCAGGGCACGAGCAAAATACTGTATCTATAATTTCCCGCTTTATGAGGTCTATGGTGACCGTATGTTCGTTTTCCCCGGACATGTCCACTTTTCACTCTCTGTCCGGCGCGTCCGGACTGCGGGTTCTTGTATTGATGAAAATGTCCGGCTTTTCATCCAGGAGCAGGGATCGAATTATGGGGGAGCTGGATATCCTACACATCCAAGGGAGCCGGAAAAAAGTTTTCTACCTATATTATATCATTTATGGACTCTTTTTAGCAGAGAGCACAGAGAGCGGCAGAGCGCTGCGTTGTTGCGCAGCGATCCAGGCAGCTGCGTCCAGCGCACGGTCCATTCTCAAAGTGGCGCAACCAAAAAAACTATAATTAGCACACGATCGTTCATGTCTGCACATGTTCTCTACTTTCTGTCTTATTTGCGCCTAAAGCGCTCTGCTACTGCGGAGCTCATCACCTGTGCTGCAGTGACTTCACCTCACTGACGCATTGAAACGCGCTCTCCGCTTTGCGGTCAGGAGATCCCTTTGATCTGCTCAAAAGTAACTGATGAGGTGAAAAAGTAAGAATCCAGGCAGCAGTTTTTCTGGAGAGTTTAGAGGAGATGCAGGAAGATGAGAGACAGGACAGGAAAATAGTTCAATAAAAACAAGAAAACAAAGTAAAATGTAGGTAGATTTATCTCCACTACGTGTTTCTACCTGTATAAAACAATAAGTTATACACATGTAATATTTATACATCTGATACAATTCAGATCACCTTCTAAACTCAGTCACACACCCAGGGCCGTATCAAGACATTTTGGGGCCAAGGCAAACCCCCCACCCCCCCACCCTCACCCCCCACCCCATAACTGGGCTCCCCAGAAGCCTCTGTGTAATTCATACCCTCTCCAGTAGTGTTAGTTATATGGTGTTTATAAAAGCCCCTCAGACATTACTGACATGTTCTAATATTATCAGATGAAAAACTAAATTATCAGACATGCTGTCTCATCTGCTGCTTTTCTAAACTTGCTAAAAGTAACAAAACCATTTGAAAGCCACTATTTGTGGATTCTCTGAAAGTTTCCATGGAGTGTGTGACAACTTATTTTATCATTGATCCTATCGTCTAATCTCACAGCTGAAACAAGCATCCTTAATAATCTGTGCACAGGAAGCGTACCGATGCTGTAGTAAAACAAAAGGTATAATAATTTATTATTAATAAAACCTTGTTGCAGCACTAAAGCAGAAAAATGAGATTTTGCAGTAAATATGCTAAGTATTTATTGTTTTAGAGCCCTTTTATTGACAGAATCTGATATTTAGTTTTTACAAAAAAATGGGTCCCAGCGTTGTGTGGAGTTGCCATAGTGTGACGTCATAGGCACAGATCCCCTGTCCTCTTGTTTGGAAATGGAAATATGGTCACCCTATATTAAACAAACTGTCCACCCGGGCTTTTGCGCTGCACAGAGACGCTTCGCTGCCTACGACTGAACGTCAGTTGAGAGTCAGTCTCATGCAGACTGACCAATGAAGAGAGGGCCTCAAGTTAAGACCCTCTCCTCATTGGTCAGTCCACACGAGGTGGGTCAAAGGTTACTCTGAGCGGGTTACGTGATGTCAGGCATTCAAGTATTGAGTATTTTTACTGCATATAACAGTAAAATATTCTGTATGTGACCATATTATGGTGATCCTTGGGTCGTGATGATGGGGCCCTTGAATATTGTTGCCCAGGGTACAACAAAGTCTTAATCTGGCCCTGATCTGGCCAAGAGGCAGCAGCAGCAGACTCATAGTTAGCTTTACACCAAGGACGTTTGTATTTTGGACAGAGAACACAAGTGGTCTGAGAGAAGCTTCTGGAAGCTTTAGAATAGAATAGACTTCGTTGATCACACATAGGCAGTAGTCTAGAATTGTGACCTTCGACCACTAAAAACCACAAATAAAAAAGGAAAAAACTTTGGTTCCAACACTGCGGCATAGTGCAAGAGACACGTACATACAATGTAAATCTGGTATTGAATGAGTATTGAACACATACTGAATATTGCAATGGTGGTATTGTGTACCAGGATAATGTCAGTACCAGTTAAACTGAGGAGTTCTCACTCTTACTGGAGAGGGGATGAATGACCTATGGTAGTGTTGTTTTACATCTGGGATGTCTCAGTCTGCCTCTGAAGGAGCTGTCCATGGTCTCCACAGTGGAATGCAGTGGGTGGGAGGAATTTTTTTAAGATGGTGGTCATCTTCACCAGCATCCTCCTTTCACACGTCTCCTTAACTGAATCCAGTGGGCAGCTCAGAACCGAGCTAGCCTTGTTATCCAACGTGTTCAGTCTCTTCCTGTCTTGATCAGAGCTGCCTGCACCCCAACAGACCACAGCAGAGTGGACAACAGAGCCAACCACAGAGTGATAAAAGAATTTTAGCAGCTGGGAATTAACTCCAAAGGACCTCAGCCTCCTCAGGAGGTAAAGGTGGCTTTGACCCTTCTTATACAGAGCATCTGTGTTGTTGGACCAGTTCAGTTTGCTGTTGAGGCGAATAGGCAGGTACTTAAAGGTATCCACCTTCTCAATGTCTGCTCCCTGGATGTCTACCGGTGAGTGAGGAGGAGTGTGTCTCACCTATAAAGCTCTTAATAACCAAGTTCCATCAAACATCAGTGATCTGATTGTTCCATATGTAAATGCCTAGGTTTTATTTTGTTAACTTAAATCATGGAGATACAGCTCTGGATAACGGCTGGAGACGGGGTTCTAGCCCTCCAGCTAGTGTGGATGTGCTCAGTTACCTGGATGTAAACAACATGCAATGGGTCTATATTTTACTGTTTGGTGAAAACTGAAGCAAAGGATGGAATCTGTGTATATAAGAAAAGAGACTTATAAAATATTATATAATTTTAGATACACCTTTTGCTAAAAAACATTTTTGTGCTAGGGATCCCAAACATTGCGTTTACTAAGAGAAGTTTTGCTTTTAGAGGCACTTTTAAGTCAACTAAATGTTATATTAAACCACATTTTGTAGCTGGAAGCCTAGTAAGAAGTCACTCTGACTGTAACCCCCTCAACCCTGACCCTAACCCTACCACCAGAACACTTAACTCATTAACTGCCAATGACGACTTTAAACTATCACGTGAGAGTCCACTGAAGTCATCATTTGCATATTTTTTTACTGTGTGGGCGTTGAAACGAGCCCCCCAATGTGAGAACAAACATCCCAGCTCTAAAGCCGATCTTCATCTGCGTACGACACACATCACGTGATCAGGAAGCAGAAAATCCATGTGTTAGCAGATCGTTTTGGGCCGTTGCTGTAAAAAAAGTGAGGCTTGAACCGGAAAAGCTTCTGCCAATCACAACTCAACAACGGATTATGAAAAAATGTATAACGTTTGAAACGCACAGATTCTTCCTAATTTTAGAGGTGAGTCTACTCTTTGTTTTGTTAGTTTTGGTGTTGGCATCATCCTAGCACGCAATGTTCTGTGACTCTTAAAAATACAGTGAAAACGCTGGCAGCGAAGGGCTTTTCTGATCAGGAAACGGCTGGGAGTGAATGAGTTAAAAGCAGTGTAAAAACATAGAGAAGTCTAAAATACTTGACACAACTGAACATGGGTGAGTCGGGAGCATAAACACCCAACCCCCACCCCCGCAGCAGAGATCTGACGAAGTACATGTTTGAAAAGTGCAGAGGTTTTTGACCCTAATAGCCTTCAATTTACATTGGTCAAGTCTTACTTGAACACAAACATACTGCTTGCTTGCAATCATTTAGGTTTGTACTGCCCACTATTGCCAGGGAAAGTACACACTATCACTTTTAATTTGTCCACAGAGCTCATTAACAGGTTTCTATCCTGGGTGAACACTCATGTGCTTGAATAAAAATGTCTTTTGTCCATATCTTTCTCCATAGAATTCACAAGCAAATGGTTTATGTCCTGTGAGGACTCTCATGTGAGTGTTTAAATGCGACTTTTGGGTAAATCTTTTTTCACAGAGCTCACACAAAAAGGTTTCTGTCCTGTGTGGACTCTCATGTGCCTGTTTAAATGCGACTTATTTTTAAATCTTTTTTCACAGAGCTCACAGAAAAAAGGTTTCTGTCCTGTGTGGACTCTCATGTGACTGTTTAAATGCGACTTATTTTTAAATCTTTTTTCACAGAGCTCACAGAAAAAAGGTTTCTGTCCTGTGTGGACTCTCATGTGACTGATTAAATTTGACTTATTTTTAAATCTTTTTTCACAGAGCTCACAGATAAAAGGTTTCTGTCCTGTGTGGACTCTCATGTGACTGTTTAAAGTTGACTTTTCGGTAAATCGATTTCCACAGAGATCACAGATAAAAGGTTTCTGTCCTGTGTGGATTCTCATGTGAGTGTTTAAAGCTGACTTTTTGCTAAATCTTTTTTCACAGAGCTCACAGATAAAAGGTTTCTGTCCTGTATGGACTCTCATGTGACTGTTTAAGTTTGACTTACGGGTAAATCCATTTCCACAGAGATCACAGATAAAAGGTTTCTGTCCTTTGTGGACTCTCATGTGACTGTGTAAAGTTGACTTTTCAGTAAATCGATTTCCACAGAGCTCACAGATAAAAGGTTTCTGTCCTGTATGGACTCTCATGTGACTGTTTAGGTTTGACTCACGGGAAAATCCATTTCCACAGAGATCACAGATAAAAGGTTTCTGTCCTGTGTGGACTCTCATGTGTCTGTGTAAAGTTGACTTTTCGGTAAATCGATTTCCACAGAGCTCACAGATAAAAGGTTTCTGTCCTGTGTGGACTCTCATGTGAGCGTTTAAAGATGACTTTTCGGTAAATCGATTTCCACAGAGCTCACAGACAAAAGGTTTCTGTCCTGTGTGTTTGATCATGTGAGTGTTTAAGTTTGACTTACGGGTAAATCGATTTCCACAGAGCTCACAGGCAAAAGGTTTCTGTCCTGTGTGGATTCTCTGGTGTCTGTTAAAACTTGATTTTTTCCCAAATATTTTTCCACAGTCACAACTAAATGATTTTAGTTCTTTCTGGACTTCCCTATATGAGTCTACAGGTTGCTTAAGTCTAACCGATTTCTTATTAACCAAAAAGCTGGAAGACCTGATTACTGAATGACTGGTTACTCTCACATGTTTCTGGAGAGACTGCTTATCATGAAATCGTTCACCACACTCAAGACAGCTAGAAGATATGTTGACTGTCTTAACATCTGACTCAGAAGACCTTTTCTCTTTCCAGTCAGGGTCTTCGTCTCCAGTTTCAGACCCAGAGTCTGACATCCCAGAGTCTAGATTCATATCATCATCTCCACTAACTTCAGTCTCTGAAGAATCAGATGTTTGTTCATGAGGGTTCAGATCTGGGTTCCTGCTAGTTCCTGATACCCCACAAATTTCCGCTGTCATCTGGTCAGATGAGCTGCTGGTTGGAACATCTTTGTCTTCTACTTGCTGCTGATGAAGCTGTGAAAACAGACGATTCTCTTCATCATCCTCACTCTTTATAGAAACAGCACTGAATTGAAACCAGGCAGAATCGGTCTCCTCCTTCAAATGGAGATGCTCTCCCTTAAGACTGGTCCAGAGTTCCTCCTTTTCCTCCTTTATGTGGAGATGTTCTGGGTCCTGCTGTTCCACACCAGCACTCTGTTCTTCAGGATCTTCTTTAACCTGCACAATCTGTTGAACATCTGTAGGAAACAGAAACACATAACGTGAAATACAGACTGCTGTAACTTTAAATTCACACCAAGCCCCCACAATGCGGCTCTAAAATTGGGCCCAACCCGGAAGTACCAAAAATTGCAGTTCCACCCTCATCCACTAGGGGCTGGTGTCAGAAGCGAGCAAATCCTCATTGACTCCCATGTTAAAAATACCAATTTCACAGCAGAAATAAACATGTTTACAGCCTGGTACCAAAACATGTTTTTTGTTTAAATGATCTAGTGTACACTCATGACAACTCTGAGGGGGGTGAATTTTTTTTCTCACTCTTCTGTTTAAGTGTATTAAAAGCCTAAAATTCTGTATAATTAATGAGCATCAGACCCACGTGACCACAGAGCTAGCTCCGTGAAAAGACCTCAGTAGAGCCTCGGTCTGGCTTGGAAACTGCTCCAGGGTTTTGAGTCTCTGTGTTTATGTATTATTGTTTGGATATTTTTTGTGCAATTGTTGGACAAAATGACTTCCTGTGGCATTAATTGCACTAATAGAGCGTCCAAGGAGTCTCCACTTCATTTTTTTTCGGTAAGTAAAATTATATTTATGTATTTTAGGTCACTGCCGAGCTGAGCTTAGATTTTAACATGTACTGTTTAACCATGAAATGTAAATGTAATAGGGTAAAACCCAGTGCATTTAACATAATGCTGCACTTTAGAAAATGAGTTGAAATATAACATGTTGGTGGAGCTGGGCTCCGACTATCGGCTTGTGGAGCTCTCGGGAGGCAGATGTTTTCCACCTGGTTCTCCCCTCCCCGCAGCTCGGCGCATCTCTGTCTGATCGCGGCTTCTGTCTGCTGCGCGGGCTGCCGGCTTGTGGAGCTCTGGGATGGAAACCTTTCCACCAGGTTCTCCCCAGCGGCAGCTCTGCGCATCTCAGATCGCAGCGGCGCTTGTCTGCTGTGCGGCTGCCGGCTTGTGGAGGTCTCAGAGACCTCTGTGTTCCACCCGGTTTTACCCAGCGGTCAGCCCGGCATATCTCTGACTCAGAAGCTCTGGTATTGTGCACAGTTAACTCCGGTTGTAGCTAGGTTGCCACCTCCATTAGCTTAGCTCCCAACTCTGCATTAGCTTTGGGTTAGCTTCAGGTTAGCTTGTAGCTAGTTCGACCGGGTGTCGTCAGTTGATCCCAGCCTTACAGCCCCACCCTCAGCTCCTCCTCTCTTCCCTTTTTTGGAATGGTCTGGGCTTGACAGAACCTGTGACACGGTCAAAATGGCGGTGGTGGCCACCTCCCATTTTAGTACAAAAACGTGATATTGGAGCCTATGGAAAGGAGATGTCCAGTATATTTATGTCGATGATTCACACATGAGAGTTGTGTTATTGCAGGGGTCTCCAACATGTTGGTCGCGAGTTACCGGTAGCTCTTGAAAGTCACTGGCCTGGAAGCAGCCAGTGAGCTGCTCAGCCTGACTTGTAATTAACAAGGGACGGATTTCTAATTTGATGGCAAGCCTTCCCCGGTTCTCGTAATATCTCATGTAAAATCTGCATTTTGTGGATGTAAAATAAAATCGGATTATTGCACAAATCTTTCAGCAAACGTGTTCTACTGTAAATACAGTCAGGTCTATAAATACTGGGACATCGACACAATGCTCAACATTTTTGGCTCTATACACCACCACAATGGATATCAAATAAAACGAACAAGATGTGCTTTAACTGCAGACTGTCAGCTTTTATTTGAGGGTATTTACATCCAAATCCTGACTGTATGTGGAATGGATTAATTGCTCAGGTTGCAGCGCGGATCCCCGTTTCTGATATCAGCGGCTGACAGAATTTGAAGTGTGCTAAAGCCGGGCGTACACTGTGCGACTTTTTCACTCGTAGCACTCAGCTTCAGCTCAAACTGTACGACTTCCTCGCAGGGCAGATCTCACGAGCCAGGCGCTCACACTGTATGACTGGTAGCAACACGTCGGCCCTAAAAATATTCTAAAAATAGCAGTTTTTACACAACACGTTAGACTTTTTGGTCTTATTTTGCCTGTTATCCTTCAGGAGTGCTGCAGGAGGACACACAGGGATTTATGTATAAATCTGTGTTTTGTGATCAGTTTAATTTGACATGAACACGACAAACACGCTTTCTTGACAATCTTTGTGAGTAAAAAAACGTGTAGAAATTAAAACAAACAACGTGTGTTATTAGGGAAATAGGGGGGAGCGGTGTTGATGCAGGATTGCGCATGCGCCGTGAGCGGTTCTGATACATTTTGGGTCGCAGCTGCTCGCAGCGCTGCTTCAACAGCGCGATACCCTCACGAGGGACGAGCGAAATATTAAACACGCCAGAAGTCCGTGCGACCTCACGACTGCTAATCGGCAGCTGGTCACGTGGTGTTAATCGCCTCTCGTAACCCCCTGTACACTACACGACCGCTCGGCGCAAAACTCGCCCCGATGTCGTGGATTCTCGCACGACTGGAAAATCGGCTCAAGAAAGTGAAAAAGTCGCACAGTGTACGCCCGGCTTAAGACCAGCTGCTCTGCTTCTTAATGATTAATGCTTTAAGTTGGTAGGACAAAAAAAAAGGGAGGTGGAGTAGCGATATAAATGGTAATATTGTGTATCTGGAATGAATTTTAGATCTTTAAGTCCATCTCATGAAAAATCGGAGCAGAAACAAAGGTGTTGCGTTTATATTTTTGTTGAGTGTACGTACAGAAAAGGTTTCAATGTAAGATTATAGGCACCACAGCTGTTGATGAAATTATGCAAAGTTTAACAATTGAAATCAGGACAAAAAGGTGTAAGAGTATAGTTTTGAGTTGTATATATAGAACACCTGGCTCCTGTATGGAGCAGTATTTCAACATTATAGCTAACATCTTTGAAAGCATACGTGATAAAAAGTCTGATTCTGTGTGGGGATTTTAATATTGATTTGATGAAAGGAATGTTCATAAAGCAACAAATGACTTTTGCAATACTATGTTTAGTTTTGGATTAAGGCCACCAATACACAAGCCCTCCAGAATTACGAAAGACAATGCTACACTAATAGATAACATTTTTACAAATGTGTACATTTCAGCTACATGTGGTATATTCCTAAGTGACATTATAGATCATCTCCCTATATTTGGAATTTTGCATAAGTTAATAGATAACACTTTAGTCGCAAACAATGAGTCAATGCATAAATGAGAATAAGGACCCTAGAAAGAATTGAGGCTTTAAAGGTAGACTTTGCAGATTTTGTTTGGGATGATGTGTATGAAGAGGATGTGAATTTGGCATATGATACATTTTGTCTATATTTTTAGATCTCTATAACAAACCTTGTACTATTAGAAAATGTCAGGTGAAGAAAAATCGTAACAGAAAACCATGGATGACTAAGAGTTTACAAAAGGCATGCAGAAAGAAAAATGTACTATATAAGAAATATTTACTATTAAAAACTATTGAAAGTGAAAAAACATATAAACAGTATAAGAATTGTTGACCTCTATCATAAGATGACAGAAAAAGGAGCACTATAATACATTAGAAGGAAGTAAAACTAATACTCAAGCGACTTGGAATATTATAAATTATCTTATCAATAAAAAATGAATAAAACAGAATATCCTAGACATTTTTTAAATAAATGTGGTGATATAGTGCAGTGGTCCCCAACCTTTTTTGCACCAGGGACTGGTTTCGCATCAGGCAATATTTTCACGGACCGGTCTTTAACATGTAGCAGATAAATACAAATTAACATCATATGACCAGCTTAAACACTGTGGTATTTTTTAAATGCAACAATAAATGTGAATCGATTATAATAGATTATTAAAATAGTTAACAACTTTTTTAGTCATCGATTAGTTGTTTAATAATCACATTTTACCGCATAAAGTCTATTTTTACCACAATCTGACATCGGTTACAATCTGTTAAATTTGCCACCAGTGTGTGGCAGTAAAGAGCCACTGATCTACCAGTGGAGGCGTAGAAGAAGAAAGGAGCCAATAAGTGCCCTCGGTTTTCATGACGTATCACGTTACTGACGCTCATCTTGCTGTGAGAGATGGCGGAACAAGAAGAAATACGGAAGGAAAATAGAAGCGACAAAACTGAGAAACCCCGGACATAAACCTCACGAGTATGGGAGCACTTCACTCTAGATGTCATGAAAAGACGGGTGACCTGCAAAATATGCAAAAATCGTCTAGCATGGCACGGAAGCACGACGTCCCTAAGTGAACATTTGAGACGAAAACATGTGGGGGCTGATGCAGCAGAGGAAAGTCCGGTAAGTAACAGAAAATAAACAAGCTAACGCAGATCAAATTTGGGACTTAGTGTTTTAGCTGAGTTCGTTATAGTGAATGTTAAACATGTTTTGTTTTGTTTTTTTGCCGCGTCAGTCTACGGTGTTCTACTTCTGATTGACTAGATGCAATCGTGAATCTCCTCCGTGTTGTGAATCATGCGCTTGCCAAATTTAGCACGTCTGTTTATAAGAATGTTCTCGTTAAGAGAAAAATGGCACAAACCCTTAACTATGTTCCTCATTTAAAAAAAGGACAACTCCGCGGAGAAAAATATACAGACGAGCTGTGTCCAGGTGAATATAACGCGGCATAGTTGTACGCTTTCAATTTTTAAATACAGGAGAAATTCAGAAAAAGTCATTTTTTTACTATTAAAAGGCTGTTTTACTATCTAACACTGTAAAACGCCTCACAACACATTTTTGTCAAAATAAATGATCACTGTATATTGTTAATTAATTCAAATAACGTAATATTGATTTAGTGTTGTAGTGTGTGTGCTGCTTTATTTTATATGTGTACTTATTTCAGTCTATTTGTGTTTCTTATGCAGAAAAAAACAAGCAACGATGGACAACTACATGGGGAACAAGACACTCACCCCCCAGCAATGCATACCACTGACAAACTCTATTCTAGATTCCACATAATTTTTTATGGAATTTACCTCTTCTATTTTGATGCCAAAAAATTATTCTGGACTGATATTTTGCACTGTTTAGCTCATTTTACACTGCTGACTGTGTTCATGTGCAATAAAATCGATTGCAGTCAACTGCACAATTCTCCTATGTTTTTCTTTTTCTTAACTGAAATGTATTCATCACTTGTATAGGTTAAATAGCTAAACAATAACAAACCGATTAATCGAAAAAAAATTATCGACAGATTAATCGATTATGAAAATAATCGTTAGTTGCAGCCCTAGTTAAAGGAATCACTGAAGCAGTGTGAAGCGCTCCGTTGCACGTCTAGGCGGTACCGTAGGAGGCGAGCTGCCGTGGTTCGCCGCATGCTGCAGGAGCGAGCTATCTAGGTGCGCACAGCATCCCCCTGTCCCCTCCTCCTCCCCCTCCCCCTTGTCCGGAACTCTACCTCACCAGTCTGAAGCAGCCACCCTGTCCGTAACAAGTCCGGACCTGTTACTAGGGGCTTAGTCCGGTTAAATTCCGGAACACGTTATCCGGATGTTTGTATTCAGACACAAAGGTCTTACTTTTGTTCTGAAAAAATACAACATATTACCTTCAAATATAGCAGGTTTTTTCTGTTCCCTATATTCCAGACTGAAAAAGCTGAATTATTTTATTTTGAGGAATGCACTTTTGATCTGTATGGCAGCTTGTTTGTAATGTTATCATATGCCAGACTCATTAAGTTTCCATTAAATAAATTTGATGGAAGTAAAAATTGTGTTTACTTGAATTAAATTATCTCATTAAATCCAGGGCTTGCCTGTTTCCAGTGTTTCCCAACAATGGAGGGGACACTAATGTAAGTAAAGCTTTCCCTGATCGAAGTTAAGTTGGTCAAACTGCAAATATTTACACGTCATACAGTCATAAAATGAGAATTTGACTTTCAAAAATAGTTAAATGTTAAAAAATGTATTTACTAACAGACAGTAGTTTTAGAGGAACTGAATTAATTGATAGGTTATTTATTTACAAATGTAGATAAAGAAAAAGACAATCTTGCATGAAAAAAAGAATTAAAAATGTCAATAATCGAAGAATCGTGGTACCAGTAATCGAATCAAACCAAAAATCATTATGATTGAAGAATCGAAGCATTGAAGATCCCATAATCAAAATCGAATCGTGAAGTACCCTTTTTGGAACACCCCTACCGATTACTGGGCGAGCACTTAACTCCTGTGCCACCGTCGCCCACCGTGGTTGACATTCAACATTTTGGAGTTGCTGTGGCGAATGCAGAACAGCTGGCACAAGACCGCCAGCAATGGAGACAACCGGTTCACCTGGTGGAATCAACGCACCAGAGCGAGACAACACCCGACCCCTTACAGGAGCCGTGGTGATGATGATAATGCCTTAGTTTTGGGTACGAAGTGGGAATAACATGACTCTGGCTGGGACCTAAATAAAAATATCAATAGGTGTTAACTAAAGAAACAAAGAAACAGAAAATACATTTCTTTTTTTAGTGCCTCTCAAGTTAAAAATCACAAGGCTGTTCACCAGAACAAACTTCCAGAGTCTGGGCCCACAGCAGCTAATGAGCCGTCACCTTTGGTCTTTAGCCTTGTGCTGCACAACCAGTAGGCTTTGGTCACTGGACCTCTGGGACCTGCTGGGGGGGGGGGGGGGGGGGGGGGGGGTCTGAGAAGATCACCAATGTATGATTGTGCTTGTCCATGTAAGGCCCTAAAGACCAATATATATATATATATCCAGGAGGGGCTCTGAGTAGACCCGCTGCTCCTCCACATTGAGAGGAGCCAGTTGAGGTGGCTGTAACCTCCACTCAAATCACTGCAAAATGCTGTAAGAACAAGACTTTAATTTAAATACTTAAGCCATAGATTATTTTTTTTAATCAGCATTGATTGATATTGTAATATCAACATATTAACCCCAAATTCAATACCCTAAGGACTGAGAGGAAATGCAGGAACGTTACAAGTAGAGAATAAAATGGATGCCATTTTCTTAGAACAACGGGATAAAAAATAACAATTCTCACACAATTCCAGTTGGCCAAATAATCCATCAGGTTTTTGAAGGGGTGGCTTGACCTCTACAGTGGGTCTGTTGGATTATTTGTGTATTAACTCACCTGGGTCACAATGCTCTAGGGTTTTATCTGACCTTTGAAAAACTAGTTGGAACTTGCTAGAATTGCCTTGATTTAATTCCACAGTCACTTATATTAGGTGCAGACACCACATAACTCACTATCTCTTCATTCAGCATCAGCATTATGTAGTCATTCTGGACACACGGTCTGGTTTCTAATCTAATCAGGGAATGCCCTTGGAGGGTTAGAATAGATTATGACAGCCAAGTATAGGAACTCTTGGAAAGATCCAAAGAGCCCGGCATTTCTGTATTTGTGCTTGTACTGTTGTCTCTGCTATTTATTTATAAACCAAGATAAAAATGAATCACTGCCTCATCGTATTATTGAGGTATCGCCTTGGGAAAATTAAAGTGAGTTGAAATACTTCAAAATCTCTCGAGCATCTCTCCCCTGTGAGGACAGAACCAGAGAGGTTCTAACCGAGCTTCATCAGCCCTCCGTGGACCGGATTTCAGAAACAAACCCAACAAGACCATTATTTAAATATTGCAGCTCATGGGAGAGGTACTGTAATGTCCCACCATACAGTGATAAAAAAGTCATTCATCTACCAGTACCTGTGTCCATGCTGTCCAGGTCCAGTTGGTGAAGAACGCACGATGAATCAGTCCCAGCTGATGGATGATCCTGAAGTGGTAGCAGGTTTTCTTTAGCCGTGTTTAGCTAACAGCTGCAATAGAAACAAAGCAGGAGAGCTGATTAAGATGCTGCTTCAGAACAACGCAGGCGATTAAAGATCCAACGCTTTGGTTCTGATCAGCTGAGGACAGATCCAGTCTGGAAAAGAGGACCTTTGGTCACCTGAGTTCACGGAGTAGAGCTAACCGCCTCAAAAATTCTCCTCACACACCAGAACAACAAGCTAGCTCTGCTAGCAGCTTTCAGTTTCTGCTTTTTCCGGCGGTCGGTGACCAGCGTAAAGGTGCACTACCGCCACCTGCTGGACTTTCTGAGCTCTGATAAGCTAAAGAATAAACGAATGTTGCATTTTCTACATGTAATCAATTGAATATAATACTATAATTATTATATAGCTATGCTAAAAATATTCTACATACATAAGTCATACACTATTCTAACACAACAGTTGACCTTATTTTATCTTCATTAAACCAGACGAGTCGACTGAGACTCATTCTCATTTGTGACACTCTGGCCAAGAGGCAGCAGCAGCAGACTCATAGTTAGCTTTACACCAAAGACGTTTGTATTTTGGACAGAGAACACAAGTGGTCTCAGAGAAGCTTCTGGAAGCTTTAGAATAGAATAGACTTCATTGATCCCACAATGGGGGAATTAGTTATAGCAGCATCAACACTTAAGAGAATAATTTGAAGAAAAAAGTTAGCAAAGCTACGTGTATTTATACACATAGGCAGTAGTCTAGAATTGTGACCTTCGACCACCAAAAACCACAAATAAAAAAGGAAAAAACTTTGGTTCCAACACTGCAGCATAGTGCAAGAGACACGTACATACAATGTAAATCTGGTATTGAATGAGTATTGAACACATAATGAATATTGCATTGGTGTTATTGTGTACCAGGATAATGTCAGTACCAGTTAAACTGAGGAGTTCTCACTCTTACTGGAGATGGGATGAATGACCTATGGTAGTGTTCTGTTTTACATCTGGGATGTCTCAGTCTGCCTCTGAAGGAGCTGTCCATGGTCTCCACAGTGGAATGCAGTGGGTGGGAGGATTTTTTTAACATGGTGGTCATCTTCCCCAGCATCCTCCTTTCACACATCTCCTTAACTGAATCCAGTGGGCAGCTCAGAACCGAGCTAGTCTTGTTATCCAACGTGTTCAGTCTCTTCCTCGACAAGATGGCGCCGAGTATGGCTGCCTCGTCGCGAGCTCCACCAAGCAAGTTTTTGTGTTTACTACTTTTTCTTTTTTCTTTATTTTTTCATGAGTAGCACATGTATCCTTGTGTACGACCGACAAACCTTACTGGACATAAAAGACGGATGTTCTCATTGCTTCCCGGAGTTCAGGTTTTTCATCACGGACCCGCCGTTTGCAGATCCTCCATTCATCTCACCTGAGACGCCTTTGTTATGGGTCCGTGGAGGCCGCAAGCGCCGACGCAGAGGGAGAAGATCTGGCGTTATGGTTCGACTGAGACGGCACACTAACAGACCACCATTACCCAGTTTAGTACTGGCTAATGTGCAGTCCCTGGAGAACAAGCTGTGCAAGCTTCGGGCTCGGATCTCATTCCAGCGAGAGATGCGGGACTGCTGCGTGATCTGCCTCATAGAAACCTGGCTATCGGACGAAGTACCGGACACCGCAGTACAACTAACGGGGTTCTCCGTGCACCGCGCGGATAGGTCACAGGAGCTTACAGGGAAAAGCAGAGGTGGCGGTGTGTGTTTCATGATCAACAACAGCTGGTGTGATTATGCGAACGTGCACCCGGTCAAATCCTTCTGCTCTCCGGACATGGAGTACCTGATGATTAAGTGCCGACCATTCTGGCTACCCAGGGAATTCACAGCAGTGATTATTACGGCTGTTTACATTCCCCCACAAGCCGACACTGACCGAGCACTCAGAGAACTGTACAGCGCGATCAGCAATGAGGAAACCGTACACCCAGAGGCGGCGTTTATTACGATCGGGGACTTTAATAAGGGTAACCTGAAGAAAGTCTCACCAAAACTACACCAACACATCCATTTCAATACACGTGGAGACCGGCTACTCGACCACTGCTACACCTCTTTCCGAGATGCGTGCAAAGCCCTCCCCCGCGCCCCATTCAGCCAATAAGATCACCGCTCTATCCTGCTTATACCTGCCTACAGACAGAAGCTGAAACGGGAAGCTCCAACCCTGAGGGCGGTGCATCGTTGGTCAGACCAATCGGAGTCTGCGCTGCAGGTTTGTTTTGATCGTGCGGACTGGGAAATCTTTCACGCGGCTGCTAGAGACATTGATGAGTACACAGACTCAGTCTGCGGATTTATCAGGAAATGCGTGGAAGATGTTGTCCCATCCAGAACAGTTAAATCCTTCCCGAATCAAAAACCCTGGATTATTGGAGGTGTGCGAACGGCGCTGGCGGCGCGATGCACCGCCTTTGCCTCTGCGAACACATCAGACTACAAACACGCACATTACCAACTCCGGAAGACGATCAAAGCAGCCAAACTTGAGTACAGAGACAGGGTGGAGCAACAGTTTGACAACCCCCGGAGTATGTGGCAGGGACTAAACACAATCACAGACTTTAGAGGGAAAACCAGAACACCACAGACCACGGCCTCTCTGTGTGAGGATCTAAACGTATTCTACGCCAGATTCGACACAGCGAACACCACGAGACCGGACAGTGAGCGCACCGAGGATGACGTCTGTGCTCACACTGTGTCTGAAGAGGATGTGCGGAGGTGCTTCAGGAGGGTGAACGCACGCAAAGCTACTGGTCCCGACGGGATTCCCGGCCGCGTCCTCAGGTCATGCGCGGCTCAGCTGGCTGGAGTGTTTACACACATCTTCAACCTTTCCCTCTGTCTGTAGTCCCAGCCTGCTTCAAAATGGCCACCATTGTCCCTGTACCAAAATCCTCCACCATCTCCTCATTGAATGACTGGCGACCTGTAGCCCTGACCCCCATCGTGAGCAAATGCTTCGAGAAGTTGGTCAGGGACTTCATCTGCTCTGCACTGCCCGATTCACTGGACCCTCTACAGTTCGCATACCGCCACAACAGGTCCACTGATGATGCCATAGCCCTGACACTTCATGCTGCCCGTCACACCTGGAGAAGAGGGACATGTATGTGAGAATGCAGTTTGTAGATTACAGCTCAGCATTCAACACCATTGTTCCCTCGAAGCTGGACAGGAAACTGCAGGATCTAGGACTGAGCAGCTCCCTCTGCAGCTGGATCCTTAACTTTCTGTCTGACAGACGCCAGGTGGTCAGACTGGGCGGCACCACCTCATCCCCCGTCACACTGAACACTGGTGCTCCACAGGGGTGTGCGCTGAGCCCTCTCCTGTACTCACTCTACAGCCACGACTGCACGGCCACGAGAAACTCCAAGATCATTGTGAAGTTTGCAGACGACACCACAGTGGTAGGTCTCATCACCAACAATGATGAGACGGCCTACAGGGAGGAGATCAGCGCCCTGACCCACTGGTGTCAGGACAACCGTCTCACCCTCAACGTCACAAAGACAAAGGAGATGATAGTGGACTTCCGGAGGAGCAGAGGAATGCACACCCCCATCACCATCAACGGCGACGCTGTGGAGAGGGTGAGCAGCTTCCGTTTCCTTGGAGTTCATCTGGCTGAGGATCTTACGTGGTCAGTGCACACGAACAATACAGTGAAGAAGGCACAGCAGCGCCTCTTCTTTCTCAGGAGACTGAAAAGATTTGGCATGAGCCGCCGCATCCTCAGGACCTTCTATCGGTGTGCCATTGAGAGCATCCTCACTGGATGCATCTCCGCCTGGTATGGCAACAGCACCGCATACAACCGCAAAGCTCTCCAGAGAGTAGTGCGGTGTGCAGAAAGGATTATTGGAGGTGAGCTTCCCTCCCTCCAAGACATCTACAGGAAGCGGTGCCAGAGGAAAGCGCGGACGATCATCAAGGACTCAAGTCACCCCAGCCATAAACTGTTCAGACTACTTCCATCAGGAAGGAGGTTCTGCAGCATCCGGTCCAGAACCAGCAGACTGAGAGACAGCTTTTTCCATCAGGCCATCAGACTGCTGAACACTTCACAGACACCTCACCCTCACTACTGAAACTCCAACATTACACACTCCATACTGTACATTAATGCCACAGTTTTGCACATACCAGCCTCTGTACATTTTATATCTCTGATTTTATTGTTTACTTTATTCATTTGTAAAACATGAACATACACACTATACACACTCACACACGTAGAAAAAAAATACTAGCACACACATTAGTAATGTACATACCTTACATACTATACATATTACTTAGATTAGCCATTTTTTTATTTTATATTTTGCTTGTTTTTACGTTACTGTATTTTTTCACAACTCTGTTGCAGTGAAGCGCGCACACAAGAATTTCACTCTCATGTACTGTACCAGTGAACCTGCACATGTGACGTGACAATAAAAGTGATTTGATTTGATTTCCTGTCCTGATCAGAGCTGCCTGCACCCAAACAGACCACAGCAGAGTGGACAACAGAGCCAACCACAGAGTGATAAAAGGATTTTAGCAGCTGGGAATTAACTCCAAAGGACCTCAGCCTCCTCAGGAGGTAAAGGTGGCTTTGGCCCTTCTTATACAGAGCATCTGTGTTGTTGGACCAGTCCAGTTTGCTGTTGAGGCGAATAAGCAGGTACTTAAAGGTATCCACCTTCTCAATGTCTGCTCCCTGGATGTTTACCGGTGAGTGAGGAGGAGTGTTTCTCACATAAAAGCTCTTAATAACCAAGCTCCATCATACATCAGTGATCTGATTGTTCCATATGTTCCTAACAGAGCACTTCGCTCTCAGACTGCAGGTTTACTGGTGGTTCCCAGAATATCTGAAAATAGGAATTTAAAAGTTAAAACTGCTTTAATCTTTAATTTTGTCTGGTTTCCTTCTCATCTAACAAGTTTGGCAGAATCAAGAGACACAGATTAAATCTCAAAAACACTCACATTTTCTTATCTTTGTTAAGACAGAAGCTTAGGATTCGTCACTTTCTGAAGTTCTGACAATTCACCCTGAAAACAAGTTCTCTGGACATAACGTACAAAACGTGAGTTAAATTTCAGTTTTTTCTTTTTTGCTGTAGATCTTTTTAACCAAACCTGGTGACTTAAATCTTAAAAACATACATATTTTATCATCTTGGTTAGGATTGAAGCTTAGGACCCACAGTAATTTTATCATGAGTGTTTTATTAGTTCTTAAATTTGCTTATCTCTTAATAAAAAATTTTTTCTATCTTACCTTGTGCACCAAAATACCGCAGCAATTTCCTAATGTTGTGACTTGGCACACATATGGCAATAAAAACTTCTGATTCTGAATCTGTGAAAAACAGACTTGACTAAACAAGACAGCTTTATTTATATAGCACATTTGCCAAACAAAGGCAACTCATTATGCTTTACAGCAATAAAGGACAAAACAAAAATGAATAGAATTAGATATAAAACACTGAAGACTAAAACTAGAAAACACACACAGTCCTGTAGGCTGCACAAGTAGATGAATGAAGAACAGAAAAGTTAAATTTTACAGGTTTCCAGCTAATAAAATAAACTAAAGGCAGTACCAGTTCTAGTGGCTAAACCACCCACATAGTGGGAGACAGTGACAGAATTAAAGTAAAATATCTGCCTCACATATCCATCATTTTCACTGCTCATCAGTACCGGAGGCTGTGGGTCTTAGGCGGGTTACAGTTGAGCTGAAATGAGTTATAACCTTTGTTATCCTCCTAGCTTATAAAAACCACCACGCAGCACAGTCTTGACTCGGCTTCTTTATTTTTTTCCCCCACACTTCCTCGTGCCCTCTTTTTTTCTTCCCCTCCAACACAGCACATAGGAACCAAAACTACGGCAAGGGGGTATATATAAGAATAACTTTGAGAGAATATAAAACAAATAATCAGATCAATTCTGTATTATTATACACAAAATAATTCCTTACTAAATGACACTAATTCCTCATTCTGATTGAATGAAACTGAAATTATTGTCATCCATATTAAAGATTACACTAGCTAGCTATTTCAAACTCAACTGGAAGCTTTGTGCTAAACATCATTAACATAGAGATGTTTATTTATTTTTTGTTCATCTACACCAAGATGTGTTAAATAATCTAAAGTAGTCATATCTAAATGCCTAGGTTTTATTTTGTTAACTTAAATCATGGAGATACAGCTCTGGGTAACGGCTGGAGACGGGGTTCTAGCCCTCCAGCTAGTGTGGATGTGCTCAGTTACCTGGATGTAAACAATAATATGCAATGGGTCTATATTTTATTGTGTTTGGTGAAAACTGAAGCAAAGGATGGAATATGTGTATATAAAAAAAGAGACTTATAAAATATTATATAATTTTAGATACACCTTTTGCTAAAAAACATTTTTGTGCTAAGGATCCCAAACATTGCGTTTACTAAGAGAAGTTTTGCTTTTAGAGGCACTTTTAGGTCAACTAAATGTTATATTAAACCACATTTTGTTGCTGGAAGCCTAGTAAAAAGTCACTCTGTCTGTAACCTCATCTACTCCACCTAACCCTACCACCATAACACTTGACTCATTAACTGCCAATGACGACTTTAAACCATCACGTGAGAGTCCACTAAAGTTGTGATTTGCACTGTCACTTTTAATTTGTCCACAGAGCTCATTAACAGAAGGTTTCTATCCTGTGTGGACACTCATGTGCTTGAATAAAAATGTCTTTTGTCCATATCTTTCTCCACAGAATTCACAAGCAAATGGTTTATGTCCTGTGTGGACTCTCATGTGAGTGTTTAAATGCGACTTTTGGGTAAATCTTTTTTCACAGAGCTCACAGAAAAAGGTTTCTGTCCGGTGTGGACTCTCATGTGATAGTTTAAGTTTGACTTACTGGTAAAGCCATTTCCACAGAGATCACAGATAAAAGGTTTCTGTCCTGTGTGGACCCTCATGTGAGTGTTTAAAGTTGACTTTTCGGTAAATCGATTTCCACAGAGCTCACAGATAAAAGGTTTCTGTCCTGTGTGGACTCTCATGTGACTGTTTAAGTTTGACTTACGGGTAAATCCATTTCCACAGAGATCACAGATAAAAGGTTTCTGCCCTGTGTGGACTCTCATGTGACTGTGTAAAGTCGACTTTTCGGTAAATCGATTTCCACAGAGCTCACAGATAAAAGGTTTCTGTCCTGTGTGGACTCTCATGTGAGTGTTTAAAGTTGACTTTTCGGTAAATCGATTTCCACAGAGCTCACAGATAAAAGGTTTCTGTCCTGTGTGTTTAATCACGTGAGTGTTTAAGTTTGACTTACGGGTAAATCCATTTCCACAGAGATCACAGATAAAAGGTTTCTGCCCTGTGTGGACTCTCATGTGACTGTGTAAAGCTGACTTTTTGTTGAATCGATTTCCACAGAGCTCACAGATAAAAGGTTTCTGTCCTGTGTGGACTGTCATGTGAGTGTTTAAAGTTGACTTTTCGGTAAATCGATTTCCACAGAGCTCACAGGCAAAAGGTTTCTGTCCTGTGTGGATTCTCTGGTGTCTGTTAAAACTTGATTTTCTCCCAAATATTTTTCCACAGTCACAACTAAATGATTTTAGTTCTTTCTGGACTTCCCTATATGAGTCTACAGGTTGCTTAAATCTAACTGATTTCTTATTAACCAAAAAGCTGGAAGACCTGATTACTGAATGGCTGGTTACTCTCACGTGTTTCTGGAGAGACTGCTTATCATGAAATTGTTCACCGCACTCAAGACAGCTAGAAGATATGCTGACTGTCTTAACATCTGACTCAGAAGACCTTTTCTCTTTCCAGTCATGGTCTTCGTCTCCAGTTTCAGACCCAGAGCCTGACATCCCAGAGTCTAGATTCATATCATCATCTCCACTAACTTCAGTCTCAGAAGAATCAGATGTTTGTTCATGAGGGTTCAGATCTGGGTTCCTGCTAGTTCCTGATACCCCACAAATTTCAGCTGCCATCTGGTCAGATGAGCTGCTGGTTGGAACATCTTTGTCTTCTATTTGCTGCTGATGAAGCTGTGAGACCAGAGGTTTCTCTTCATCATCCTCACTCTTTATAGAAACAACACTGAATTGAAACCAGGCAGAATCAGTCTCCTCCTTCAAATGGAGATGCTCTCCCTTAAGACTGGTCCAGAGTTCCTCCTTTTCCTCCTTTATGTGGAGATGTTCTGGGTCCTGCTGTTCCACACCCGCACTCTGTTCTTCAGAATCTTCTTTAACCTGCACAATCTGTTGAACATCTGTAGGAAACAGAAACACATAACGTGAAATACAGACTGCTGTAACTTTAAATTCACACCAAGCCCCCACAACGCGGCTCTAAAATTGTGCCCAACCCGGAAGTAATAAAATTGCAGTTCCACCCTCATCTGCTGGGGGCTGGTGTCAGAAGCGAGCAAATCCTCATTGACTTCCATGTTAAAAATATGAATTTCACAGCAGAAATAAACATGTTTACAGCCTGGTACCAAAACATGTTTTCGTCTAAATTATCTAGTTTACACTCATGACAACTCTGAGGGGGGTGAATTTTTTTCTCACTCTTCTGTTTAAGTGTATTAAAAGCCTAAAATTCTGTATAATAAATGAGCATCAGACCCACGTGACCACAGAGCTAACTCCGGAGAAAGGCCTCAGTAGAGCCTCGGTCTGGCTTGGAAACTGCTCCAGGATTTTGAGTCTCTGTGTTTGTGTATTCTTTTTTGGATATTATTGGTGCAATTGTTGGACAAAATGACTTGCTGTGGTATTAATTGCACTAATAGAGCGTCCAAGGAGTCTCCACTTCATTTTTTTCGGTAAGTAAAATTATATTTATGTATTTTAGGTCACTGCCGAGCTGAGCTTAGATTTTAACAAGTACTGTTTAACCATGAAATTTAAATGTAATAGGGTAAAACCCAGTGCATTTAACATAATGCTGCACTTTAGAAAATGGGTTGAAATATAACATGTTGGTGGAGCTGGGTTCCGACTAGCGGCTTGGGGAGCTCTCGGGAGACCGATGTTTTCCACCCGGAATGCCGGCTGTTTCTCCCCGCAGCCCGGTCCATCTCTGTCTGACCGCAACTTTTGTTAGCTGCGCGGGCTGACGGGTGTTTCTCCCCGCAGCTCGGCGCATCTCTGTCTGATCGCGGCTTCTGTTTGATGCTCGGGCTGACGGCTTGCGGAGCTCTGGGATGGAAACCTTTCCACCCGGTTCTCCCCAGCGGCAGCTCTGCACATCTCAGATCGCAGCGGCGCTTGTCTGCTGTGCGGCTGCCGGCTTGTGGAGGTCTCGGAGACCTCTGTGGAGGTCTCGGAGACCACTGTGTTCCACCCGGTTTTACCCAGTGGTCAGCCCGGCGTATCTCTGACTCAGAAGCTCTGGTGTTGCGCACAGTTAACTCCGGTTGTAGCTAGGTTGCTACCTCCATTAGCTTAGCTCCCACCTCCGCATTAGCTTTGGGTTAGCTTCAGGTTAGCTTGTAGCTAGTTCGACCGGGTGTCGTCAGTTGATCCCAGCCTTACAGCCATAAGTCAGCACAAGGTCCAATGTATGATGGCAGGAGTGGGTGGAGCTAGGTATTCTTTGAGTAAAACCAATTGAGTCTAAGTTATTACTAAAGGCTACATTGAGGCTATCATTTTCAATGTCCACATGAATATTAAAATCCCCCACTATAATGACCTTATCAGTATTTAGCACCAAATCAGACAAAAAAATCAGAGATCTGATCCAAAAACTCAGAGTAAGGGCCTAGTGGCCGATATAAAACTACAAACGAGTGGTTTTACAGTTTTGAAATCTGGATTAGGAAAACTAAGAATAAGATGTTCGAACGAACTGTAGCTATTAATTGGTAAGGGACTGATTAATAAGTCCGAATGAAAAATGGTTGCTACTCCTCCTCCTCGCCCTGTACTTCGAGCAATATGATGATTTAAATAATTTGAAGGAGTCGACTCGTTTAAGCTAACATAGTCCTCTTGCTGCAGCCAGGATTCTGTGAGAGAGAAAGCAAAGAGATCTGATTATCACAAATCAAGTCATTAACTAACAAAGTCTTAGAAAAAATGGATCTAATGTTCAACAACCCACATTTAATTTTTCTAGTTTTCTGCTCAGTTGAATTTGTTCTAATATTTATGAGATTTCCATGATTTGCTTTATTAAGTCTGATATTTAATCTGTGTGATTTTGGCCGTGGGCAGGACACTGTCTCAATGGGGTAGTGGGTGGGTAACAGTACAGAAGTTGCAGAGGGGTGGGTTAAACTACGACTCTGCTTCCTGGTCTGGACCCTGGGTAGTCATGGAGGACTAATAAAACTGGCCATGTTCCTAGAAAGAAGAGCTGCTCCATCCAAAGAGGGATGGATGCCGTCTGTCCGCATCAGACCAGGTTTTCCCCAAAAAGTTTTCCAATCATCAATGTAGCCCACGTTGTTTTCAGGACACCACCTAGACAACCAGCGGTTGAAGGACAGCATGCGGCTAAACATGTCGTCACTGGTCCGATCAGGCAGGGGGCCAGAGAAAATTACGGAGTCCGACATTGTTTTGGCAAACTTACATACCGAAGCAACATTAATTTTAGTGACCTCCGATTGGCGTAACCGGGTGTCGTTACCGCCAGCGTGAATAACAATCTTACTGTATTTACGCTTATCCTTAGCCAGCAGTTTCAGATAAGATTTAATGTCGCCTGCTCTGGCCCCAGGTAAACATTTAACTATGGTTGCTGGAGTCTCTAATGCCACATTTCTGACTATGGAGCTGCCAATGATCAGAGTCGGCTTGTCAGTGGGTGTGTCACTGAGCGGGGAAAATCTATTAGAAACGTGGATGGGTTGGTGGTGGCCTACGGGCTGGGTTCTATGCTTCCTACGTACCGTCACCCAGCCGGCCTGAGGTCCCGGCTGCTCGGGTTCTACTGGAGGACCGCTACGGGGTGGCTCTGAGCTAGTTAGCCCCGTGCTAGCTAAGTAGCTACGGCTGTTTACGGGTTTTTCAACAGCGCGGAGCCGGGACTCCAATTCCGACACCCTCGCCTCCAAAGCTACAAAAATACTACATTTATTACATGTACCATTATCACTAAAGGAGGCAGAGGAGTAACTAAACATCTGACACAGAGAGCAAGAGATAGGAGACGGAGAAGCAGAGACAGAAGTAGCCGTAGCCGTGCTGAGGCTAAGCTAACTGGAAAGCAAACTGTTCAACACCAAATAAACTGCGTGCGAACTCAAATGGTTCCCTAAAAGCTAGGTGGAACAACAGAAAATGTGTGTTTTAGCGTGCTTAGGTGCTACAATAACTCAGAGATATCCTGTTACAGAGAAATTAAATCGGTTTTAGCGAGCCCCAAACACCAAGCAGCTTCACGGAGTGCAACACTAAAAACAGGAAACAGGAAACGCCTTACCGCCAGGTACAGCCAATCAGCAATATTAATTTTATTGATGCATTCATAATTAAAGAGGTCATTGATTTTATTGTAAAACCTCTGACTTTAATTTGTAATCAATCCTTTCAAAAATGTGTTTTTCCAAACAGCATGAAAACGTCTAAATTCAAACCAATTTTTAAAAATGGAGACAAACATTGTGTTGATAATTATAGACAAGTGTCCATACTTCCTCAATTCTCAAAAATATTTGACAAATAATTTGCAAAACAGCTGGATCTTTTCACTGAAGAATATGGGTTACATAGTGAGCACCAATACGGGTTTAGAGCAAAAAGAACAACTACATATGCAATTATGGAAATGGTAGAAAAAATAACAGAGGCAAGGGAAAATGATGAGTATTTAGTTGGGATTTTTATTGATTGGCAAAAAGCATTTGATACTATTGATCACAGTATCTTATAAAAAAACTTGAGAAGTATGGATTAAGAGGGGTGACTTATTCATGGATGAGGAGATATTTGGACAATATGAAGCAATATGTAGAAATCAATAATACAATCTCAAAATTAAGGAAGGTTACTTGTGGTGTACCCCAGGAATCTGTTCTTGGAACAAAACTTTTTTTTTTACTTTACATTAATTGTATTAGTAAGGTCACTAATTTATTGAAATTTGTGATTTTTGCAGATGATACAAATTTATGATGTTCAGGTAATTTACAGAAATTTTTCCCCTTAATAATAAAACAATTGGGAATCCTTAAGACTTGGTTTGATATTAATAGATTATCACTCAATTTAAAAAAGACAAAATTTATGATATTTGGTAATAAAAATGAACTTGACAGGGAAATTAACTTAAAAAAATGTTATGTTGAAATTGAAAGGGTGACAGAAATTAAATTTTTGGGGGTGGTTATTGATCATAAAATGAAATGGAGACAACATGTTTATTAAATTAAAGGAAAACTTTCTAAGATTACAGCAATACTGTATAAATCAGGGGTCACCAACGTGGTGCCCGCGGGCACCAAGGTGCTCTCGGGGTAACCACGGGGTGCCCGCAGGCTATGTTCTAAAAATAGCACTAGTCACCACTGAACTTGACTTGATATCTCCTTTTTTTTATTGTGTTGCTTTTGTTTTTGAGTCACAGTTGCATCAATGCTTATTTGAAAATGAAACTATTAACGAATAATTTTTAAGAACAAAAATATTTTATATTTTGTATGTTTTTATATTTTACCATCGACATATAAATAGTACTTTACCGTATGTGAATGTGGCAGTAGTGCAATCACATAGGCTGCAAGCTGTCATTAAAAACCGTAGAAGAAGAAGACGTAAACATGAACTTTCTTTGACCTACTAGTTCGATTCGGCGCGGCGTTAAGCTAGCGGGCGGGTGCTGTCCCAATGAAGAGCTGGATACCAACCGAAAATGGCTGAAAAACGAAAGAAAACATATAATTTTCATAGTGATTGGGAGGAGGAGTTCTTTTTTACGCTCGTGAGAGAAAAATGCGTGTGTCTCATTTGTGGAATGACTGTGGCGACAGCAAAGCGGCACAATGTGGAGAGACACTTCAGTACTTGTCATAAAAGCTACAATGCCAGCTACCCACCTAGCAGCGCACTACGGACAGAAAAAGCACGTGAGTTAAAGGCAGCTTTGGGCAAACAGCAGTCTTTATTCAAGAAGCCAGTGGAAAAGTCACAAAAAACAACAGAAGCGTCATTTAGAGCCACACATTTTTTGATTAAGAACAAGGAGACATTTTCAGATGGAGAAGTTTTCAAAGAAGCAATGATGATAATCGCAAAGACTGTATTTAAAGATGAGAAG